TCCCAGCCTCGAAGTGCTGTCCCAGCTATAAACCCTGCTGTCCCGGTCCCCGCAATGGCCACCGCACCAGCTATGCACTGCTGTCCTCGCCCCCTTCGGCCGCGATCCCAGCTATGAAAATGGTGTCCGCTGCCCCGATGGCCCAGCTCCCACCGCTCAGACGCCAACACCCACTACCAACACCAGGCCTTAACTCAATATATTGTGTTTGGGTGCGGTAGCTCGTCAGAGGCCGAAAGAGAAAGAAGGTTGACTCAAGACCTTGTTGCTTAGAGAGTAAGAGACATGCGGTAGGCCACACCATCGCCATGCAGCATGTCTGTCAATACATTCCATCCGCGTACCCCCCGGAGGCCCCGTAGACAGTATACTCTGCTGAGCACCCCAAACATAGAGCTTGCGTCGCTCAAAGCACCGCGCTTAGAGCTGTCGATCGTTTCCCTTTCGTGTTTGTTTTCAAGGCGTGGACGATACTGGCGTACCTGCACGGCCATGAAGGAGACATGGTGAGCCGTGTTTTTTTGAACGCGTAGCTGAACTGTTATAGCCGAGCTTGTGCGAAACTCTTACGAATCACGATGCGTACGGCGCTTTGTACCTGCGGCAGGGAGTCTCCGTCGTAAATTTGAGCTTCGCGCTTTAAGTGCGTCGCAAATTTTGAGCCCAACCATGGCTTCATGGGTGTTGACCTCTCCCCACCTGCCAACCTGTTCATCACCCAGGATGGGTTTTACGAGTATCTGGCAGTCTCGGACAACTTCGTACGTGACTACGAACAAAGAGGGTCGCTAGATTCACTCCCAGTGGTGAGAATCGCTGGATGGGTGGGACTTGTCAGCGGAGGGCAATTGGCCCTTTGCTCGTTCATGCACAAACGGATGCCTAGTAGTGAATCGTCGGGACAGGTGTTCTTGCCATTGCGTGCAGCCGGTCTTGCACCTCGAACGGCCCGGATAAATAGTTCGCGCGATGACCAAACGGCTGTTGCTGATGTTGACCGTCACGTTTCTTCTTCTCGCCAGGGATTCTCCGAGGTCGTCAAGCACGGAGAAACGGTCAAGCTCTTCACTGGGGCTGCAGAACAGGAAGCGGTCGAGTCACTCCTCGCCCAAGAAGTTCATTTCGGACGGTTTGTTGAATGTCAAGCCTTGCGAATTTCAATTTCCAGCTGATTGCATTGCAACATGAATCAGGCTTACAGCAGTAGTGCGATGCAACTCGTGGGAAAGCCAATCACGCTTTCAAGCAAGAGGTACAGTGTAGGGACCGATTCACACCGCTGCCTGGTGCTAGTTGGACCTCTCCGGGTTTTTGGCGCATCGAGGTAGAGGGTGTCGCGGTATGGCCAAGTTCATCGAAAATTTCCAGCGTACGCTGCCCTACCGCGTGTGTTCTCTTCACCTTTCGCACATCTCAGATGAGTGCAGTTGCACCCGGGGCGCACATCTCTCGATACGTGATGCAATATCAATGGCCGACTGAACTGACCATCCAACAAGCTGCACGCACGACGGGGGGCACAACGCAAGTTGGCGCTCATGACGCGGAGCTCACCGACGATGGTGCTGTGAAGGGGTCGAAACACGGCGATGAAATGGGCGGAACTTGTGCCCCCGGGAGCTTTCCCAAGTGTTCTGAAACAGGTGATTCGGACTGGGATCAGATACCGTTGCCAGTGTTCCGCCTTGAAGACGCGATGGAGAGATGAGAAGCTTTTGTGTTAAAAATTGTCTGGCTTGAGGCTGGCACTTCATTTTTTCTCCTAATTCGAAACCACACGCGCCGACCTCTCGCACACGGTATGGTATGGTTCACCTTCACTCCACCCACATCGGCATGCGCTTAGCCTACGGCCATCACAACCGTTCCCCCCCGCGCGCTGTTTGTCGACCTATCCCGGGTATTGAACCGCGGGACCCAACTGTGGATGTAGACAGAACTAGTATTCGCGCGGGTTTTGGTGGCCTCACCATCAACGGGTGAGACAAGCATTTGTCCGATTCTTGATTGTTGAACTTAAATGTAGATTTCGTGTGTCCACGGGCCTCTACCGCCTCAGAACGTGGACCAGTTCTGACGCCAAAGATCTGGACGCAACTAGGGGTGTACTCCTGCGGAAACGGATGTGTCGGGTCGCGTGGAAGTGTCTTCGGCAGTGGCCATCACCCTACGCGAGGATAAAAAGTAAACCGAACAGCCGCGGATGGAATGAAGGCTTGCAACTGAAACCTGTCCAACTGTGAGAAAACGTCTTGTTTCTGAACTGAGCCACTTTCGCATCACGCAGGATCCATTTCTTTGGTCACGCTTTAAAGGGGGATTTCAAGGGCGCACTGGAAATAATAGGATGCTGTGTGGACATCTTGGAGGAGTTCACTGGGCTTGCTCGCTTCGGGGTGGCGTGAGTAACATCCCTGCTGTTCTCCCTGTATGTATCTTACGTGCCTGGCTCACACGCTGCAAATGCAGCACTCCGTGCATTTTTGGGCGGCGAGGAAACAGCAAAACGCAGTACTTTGAAGTTCTGAGACTGTTGAATTTTATATCCTTCACGCTTCCTTCGCTGCCTGAGTATTTTCTCCAAAACAAACACAGGGCTCTTACTTTTGTGTTGGACGCCCGAAAACATGCCGTGAAAATTTGACCTATTTGTTTGCGCCGACCCTTGATCTGCCCTTTCGCCCTATTTTCATCGCAGCAAGAAAACACATTGCACATATTTTTTGTCGATGGCTACAAGCATGGATGACCGTAGGGATGGCGGGCTGTACGATCGGCTCCGGAACGCTTGCAATCTCACGCAGCCCCCAGGCTCGTTGGCGTTTCCACCATTGGAGGAATGGCAAGGGATATCAGCGTTTTGTGACAATTACGCGTGTAGGTTCGTTCAGCTTGGAGCGCGGTGGTATGCGTACTCTACATGAAACTGAGTCATTTCGAGGTGGTGCATCGTTGTGACTTTTGGTCCTCCCGGAAAGGGGATGGCTTGATTGACCCCTGTGGTTTATGCGCAAAAACTTGTCAACCGGATCGACTACCACACACAAACCCGCGCGCATCAGACACTTCTGAGGTTGTCTAAAAGCCAATAACATAGTCTAATGGTTAGCATTTTTAGCGGAACGCGGCGGAACACCGCGTTTCCTGCGCCCCAGCAGAGCCGCAGCAGATATTTCTATGCCTTTGTACTATTTAGCGATGTGATTGGAGGGGATTCAGGCGGGGCTCCGTGGTGGTATGGGGGCGCTGAGGTGGGTAGTGGTGACACAGGGTTTCGTGGATCATGCTGCCATTACATGTCGCATTTTCTCGAAACGACCATAAAAAATCTGCAGCTAGCTATCGACGTGCAACTCGACGAGGCGATCGCGAAAAGCGCTGCTTCACCTCAATCATTTGCTTTATTTTGTCATGGCGAAAACGTGAAGGAAAACTTGTTGTGCATGGACCACACTTTAGCTCAATACACCCCCATATACACCGATGCCTGCCTGCATCCATCACAGTGGTCAGGTCGACTGAAGCCCTTTTCACTGGACAAAACGTGGGCCTATCGCCCCTGCAAATTTCCGAAGGCATCAAGGCGATCAGAGACGAGAGCTCAGACAGCGTTTGACACTCTGAAGAGACGCCAAGCTTCTCCGACTACACCGAGTGCGTTGAGCACCCCTTCGACAATGGACACAGTTCCTTAAGCTTCACCACCAGGATGCGATGGAGTCCTGGATACCCTGTCTGAAGACGATGTCTTTCAGTCAGAAGCTATAGCATCCCCGTATCGAGTTGAAACGGTCGACGGTGCGGAGAGCTCTCCTTGCAGCGAAGGTGTACAGCGCGAAGAATGTTTCGCTCACTCGTTTGCTCAAGCCGCAGACGTTTTACGCATTTCGCTTCACCCCCCAAACGTGATTGACGAAGATGCACAGGACCAAGTCATTGCCGCGAAAAATCGCAATTCCTGTGCTTTCGAGTTGCCGCGGGAGTAGTCTATAGACTATCACCGTAAGAACAGAAACACAAAGTGCATTCCTGTTGTTTTGATGTCGAGTACCTCGGTTGATGCAGCAATCGCGCGTTTCATGTGTACTAATGGAACTCTTGTCGTTTCCTTTGGTATTTTTCTCTTGTTGGTTCGTTGCTCCTTTTTTTTTTCCTGATTGACAGATGGACTAAAATAAGGTGTGCATGCTTTGATGATTGATGTGGGGGCCTGTTGCGTAGAGGTTGCGTCAAGCGTTCTTGTTTTTTGAGTCATTGAGTTTCCATTCTGTGTGAGGAAGGCGGTGCTTGCTTGTTGCCTGCCCTTTCTGCTGATGGCATAATTACTTGGCGCAGCCCTGCACTTGCGTCGTCGTCTTGAGGCCACGCGAGCCTGCGTGCAGTCTAGTTTTCACTCTTCGTTTTTTGCGACCGGTATGTTGACGGACGTGACGCTCGGTGAATTTGTCGCGTATGTTTGTTGTGCGGTGACCACACGCCTAAGAACCACTTGAAAGCAAGCAACCGAAACAGGGCCTGACGTGCCATGATGTGGTTAACTGTACAACATATACCGTGTTGACCAGTTACCGTAAAAAAATGCACGTTTCTGTGCATTACCGTGGTGCTGGCTACCGTCCAAAAAATTACCGTGGTGACCCAGTTACCGTACTTACGTAATTTACCGTGGTGGCCAGGTACGCCCAAAAATTACTGTACTGTACCGTTGTGGCCAATAACCGTCCGAAAAACATGTCATGATCTGGTTCACGCAGGAAATGATGCCGGCATGAAAAACGATTACCGAAGACAGCCCCGAAATTTTTAGAAAGACGATGTGCAAGGGCATCACCAAGGCTGCAAGTGTCACGATCACCTTGTGCCCACCGCCCTGGATCTACAACATCGAAAACTGTTGACGGCTCCCCACCTGCTTGAATACTTTCTTATCTTGCACCCACCGCCTTTTGTGGTTGGGTTTTGATCTGTCCGCATCGGTGCACCACAAAGGCGGAACTGAGCAAGCTGTTCTGATCGCAAAGCTAGCTGCGTTGCCCCGACCGTGAAACGGTGACGCAGACCCACAGCAGCGTACTATTCGTGTGAGACAAAAGGCCGGCTCAAAACTGTACGTTGGGCATGCCTCCATCTCATCTCACCAATTCATACATGAGCCGAAACAAGGTTCGATATCATTCATTCGCATCTTTTCTCCAAGCAAGCACCGAATCCAGGTTGCCCAGGTATTTCATCTCCCATCCCACGTGGAAAAGGGGGGCGACAGCACATCCAATGAAGCAGGTGGGTATTTACAGAAATATCATTTCGCTTTGCCCACGCACATGCCAAATTCAGTTTCCTCCTGCCTTCAGCGGGAAAACCTCCCACAAATGTTGATGGCCTTTCTACAGTAGTAGCGAAGTACGTACAAGCTTTGGCTCTCAATAAATCGGCATTCGCGCAAACAAGGAGTACCCCTTCCAAATCCGGGCTATCGTCGCACAACGAAATTCATTCGCCGTTCGGTCCGGGCGGACGAGCACCACAATTTAACTACCTCGTACACCTACATACCTGAAAATGTGACAACGTGCTGCGCTCGCCTTACAAGGGTTAAATAGGGAATCGACCCTGTGGTGCGCCGGCCCGTCCGTTCAAGCAAACTTGAGATTGGTAACAACGCAGACTAACCGGGGGGTCCATTAGTCGTGTCATTAGACGCCAGCATGGCGTGGATTACGTCGAACCAGTCTTCCGCCGCAATGACGTGGTCCTGTGCGTCTTCATCAGCCGCGTGCGAGGGTAGCACCTCTTCAGCTTCCGCCGGCGGTACGCCTTCATCGCTGCAGGTACAATCCTCAGCAGCATCGCCGACCGTTTCAACTCGAATATTGACAAGCGACGGGGACGCCGAAGCTTCTTCCAGCAAGAGGTCTTCCTGAGACAGGGTGTCCATGGCTCCATCACACCCTTGTTGAGCCTCTCCCACAACTGCCAGGAACGTATCGATTGCCGAAGGGGTGCGCAACGCACTCGGCAAAGTCGAAAAGGTTTGGTAGTCCTTCGCACTGCCAATGCTCTCTAGGCTCTCCGGTCTGAGCGTCTTGATGTCTTCCAAGGGCGCCGTAGGCGGTAAGTCTACTTTTCGTCTTGCGAAAAGAGCTTCAATCGACCTGACCAGAGTGACGAGGAGAAGGCATGGGGGGTAACGGACCTAGACGTTATAAACACGGTTCCTCGTTCCGGGAGGGCTCATAAGGGATCATCGGTCGGCCATCGCTTCAGAAAGCGAAACACAGCGGCTTGCGATGGCCTGACCCTACTGACCAATGATATTACGTCACCCCTGGTAGACAGTACCAAGACCTCTACAGCATTGACCAATCAGCCTCGCGACAACTGTTTACCACTCAGATTCATGCACGCATACCACTTGATGTGCCATGCTGAACAAACCTGCAAGGAACATTGTCGCAAAACGCTGATATCCCTTGCCATTCCTCCAAGGGCGGAAACGCCAACGAGCCTTGGGGCCGCGTGAGATTGCAAGCGTTCCGGAGCCGATTGTACAGCCCGCCATCCCTAGAGTCACCGACGCTTGCAGCCACCGACAACATGACATGTGCCATGTGATTTCTTCCCGCGATGAAGAGGGCAGATCAAGGGTGGGGGCAAACGAGGAGGTCAACATTGTGGCGCAATGTTTCCGACGGCCCAACACAAAAGAAAGAGCCCTGTGTTCATTATAGAGAAAATACACTCAACCAGCGACGGACGCGTGAAGGATATCAAGTACAACAGTCACAGAACGTCACAAGACTGCTTTTCAATGTTCCCTCGCCAACCAAAATGCACAGGAGTGAACAGCATGCGTTTGCAGTATGTGAAGCATGCACATGCGATACAAGGAGAACAGTAGGGATGTTACTCACCCCATCGCGAAGCGAGTTAATCCAGGGAATCCCTCAAAGACCTCCACACAGCGTTCTAGCCTCTCCAGTGCGCCCTTGTTATCCCCGCTAACCGTTTTGTTGAAGAATAGGGTCCTGATTGATGTAGAACGGTTGAAGAAAGATAGAAGTTCAACATTTCGACGGGCTTTAGTGTCATGCCTCCATTCCATCCGCTGCAGTTCTGTTCACTGAAGCGGCCGCGGCAGTTGTTATGTTCGTGTTCCGTGATGGCCAATGCCAAAGATAATTCTAAGCGATCCAAATCATCCATTCCCGCAGGAGTACACCTCAAGCTCCGTCTATGTTTTAGGCATCAGAACTGATCTGAAGTGGTAGAGGCCCACGAACACGCGAAATTAGCAAGAGAGACACTCTGATACATTTCCGGAAGTGGGTCGTGGCACGGATTCGCTACATCGCACAGGCCGGGGTCTTGGCACAGCGGGGGGGGGGGGACTCATAGTCGTGCATGCCGTTGTCGTTAGACCATTGACCTCGCATCTCTACAAAGCCGGGACGGAGCACGCCGGGTTCTCACCGGACTGGGACCTCGCATAGGGGGGCGGTGTACTCATAGTCGTGCATGCCGTAGTCGTTAGACCATTGACCTCGCATCCCTACAAAGCCGGGACGGAGCACGCCGGGTTCTCACCGGACCAGGCTCTCACATCACCAAGCGCGAAGCGCCGTGAGATATTCGGCGAGTCGCATGAAGGGTGCGCTGCATCCTGCTAAGGGTGTTCGGCATCTTGTGCTTACTTCCTTGCGTACGGATGACAGCTGCGTATGACTTAATATATTTTCTGGTGCTTTCACTTCCAGAGACAGTTGTAAGCACTGTGTAACTGCCTCGAGGGTGCTTGACCATTATAGCACGACGTGGTGCGATCATCCCCCTTGCGCGGAGTGAGGGATCTCGACCCCGCAC